TCGGGAGAGCTCTGGTAATTTTTGGTAATACCAGCAGTTCGACATTTAGTGAGAAGTTACTTGGGAATCGTGCTTTTAACTGGGTGGTGACTTTTGATTTTGATATCCTGGCGTCTTCACTTCCCATTCCTGTTATTTCTGCACATATTCCTTCTCTTGGCAGAGCTAATAGCTGGGCCGCCTGCTCAGTTATAAACGACGCTTGTGAGCCTTGATCGATCAGTACTCTTAGCATTTTTCCTGATCCGTCGGCAGCCTGGCTTACCACTAGGGCCGTGGCAAGTAGAACTTCTTTGATGTCTAGGTGGCTATTGCTTGCTGTATAGTGATTGCTTCTTGGATTTCTAGAGTATCCAAGATGGTTGTTGTGGTTTCCAGCATTAACGGAGCCTTGGTATCTAGTATTAATTTGCTGATGAAGTAATGTGTGGTGTGATCGGTTGCAGGTTCTGCATTTTTCTGGGCTGTAACATCTGGATTTATTGCTGTGACGTAGGCAGTTCTGGCACAGCTGGTTTTCTCTAACTATTTTGTTTCGGTCTGACACCGATTTCTTCTTAAACTCTGGGCAAAACACAATTGCGTGATGGTTGTGGCATACCGCACATTTGAATCTTCCTTCGCCTCTCGGTGAGTCTCTAGGGACGTCATGCTGTTTTCTTACGCCACTTATAGATTCCAGAGATTGAAATCTTTTTCTGAGGAACTCGAACACTTCTTGTCTGGATGGAATTTTTTGTGGATCTTGTAATTGCTGCTCGTATAGTTTATTGGTTTCTGGGTCCCACTTTTTCGTTATGAGTCTCCCTATAAATGGATCCCATGATGTTGTGTCAATGCCTAGATTTTTGATTGTTTCCAGACATTCAATTGATACGTCATGGAGCTGTTTTATTTTTTCTGCGGACTCATGCGTGACTGATGGTAGTTCCATGATTTTATCTAGGAGTTTGTAGACGACCAATCGTGTATTTTGGTAGCGTTGTTTTAGTAGGTCCAGTGCTGTTCCATAGTTATCTCCGGTAATCATTAAGTGCTTGATTATGTTTTGCGGATCTCCTTGCAGCTGGGATTTCAGGAATTGCAGCTTCTCGGAATTGCTGAGTGACGAATTTTGATCTATCAATCTCGTAAATAGTTAAAAAAAGGTGGGCCAATCTTCGTATTTTCCTGAGAAAGTTGGGAGTTTCATCGTTGGAAGGCTGGAGTTGGGAGAGCTTGTTCCTTGTTTAATTCTTTCCTGAACTTTCTCTTGTAGCAAGTGTATTTTTTGTGTTAGGGCCCTATGATCCGCCATGTAACTTTCTTCCAGTTTGGGGGCGTTAGCCATAATTTCATTATGCTGTTTCTTTATCATCATCCATTGATCTAGCAGCTCTTCTAATAATATTGCGTATCTTGAGACTGATTTAGTTTCTTTCAATTCCTCTTCGATTGATTTTTTTTTTTACAAAACTATGAAACGAGAACATAATTATCATGTACATATCAAATACTCCAAAATGTGGGGTTAGTCAATTATCTATTCCTGAGGTTGTACCTACCCTCCCCCCTTCTCGGGCTTGCACCCCTTCCCCTTCCCCCTCTTGTGTGTTGTGTTTGACCCGAGGCGTCGGTTGTGTGAGTTTGATGCTCGCCTGCGGTGGCGGCGCGCGTAGTGACCTGTCATGACCACTGTCAATACTATCGTGATTATGCACAGGGTTATACCATTGCTTGCATATGTGTGGTTTCGAATTTTTACCCAGATTGTATTTTCAAGTTGACTTCTGACTGTTTCTTCGTCGTGGACTATTGACTGGAAGTTGTCATTTATGTTGAGGATGGGTTCGTCTTCGATTGATTTTGCGGCGTATAATATTTCTTGGATCATTATCTCTTTTTTGTTCATACGCCCGATTTGTTCGTTTTCGCCTTCAGCTTTTGCTTTTTCGTCCGCTTTTTGGCAGTTCTTCAAATAGGCTTTGGCTTCGTTGTAGATGCTGCTAATTTGTTCACTATATTTTGTAGTGAAGTATGTGTGCTGCTGTATGCCCAATGCTACCATTTCTTCGTGGTTTTTTCTTACGTTTTCCCATGCTTGGTCTAATGCGGCTTTTCGTGTTTTTATATATTCACCAGTTTTTTTCGTTACCGGGTCTTTTTTGCTATTGATTAAGATCCGGTTGATTTCGTTCCCGAGTTCTTCTTGTTGTTTGGCTAGCTCGTTTGTTTCATCCATTGTTTTTGCTTCTATGGCTCAATGGCGTCTGGTTTATGCGGCTTCTTACGGCACTGCTGTGTTAACAAGATTTTTTATTTTTTTTTGCTTTTTCTTCTCTGGCCGGCGTGTGTGGTTCGACTCGACTAGAGTGGCTTTTTTCTTCTCTGCTTTGTGTGTAAGACTCAAGTAGAGTAATGGTTTTCTTCCTTCTGGCTTGTGGCTCAGTGGAGTATTTTTCTTCTTCTCTGCTCGGCGTGTGTGGCTCAAGTAGAGTGGCTTTCTTCTTCTCTGCTTGGTGTGTAAGACTCAAGTAGAGTGATGGTTTTCTTCCCTCTGGCTTGTGGCTCAGTCGATTATTTTTCTTCTCCTCTGCTCGGCGTGTGTGGCTCAAGTAGAGTGGCTTTATTCTTCTAGTTTTTTTTGCTCGAAGGACCATGAAAAAGCCAGGGAATTCCTGAACCTTATATTCCCTACTACTCTATAGCAGTCTCACTATAGATTACAGGCAAGGTGACTTGGCCGTAGTAGGTTTTTGTGAGTAAAAAACAACAGTAATATTTGACTACTAGTTGAATACTGATTTACAATTTATATTAATCTAAGTGAAAATAATTTTAATAATAATTTGTCATAATTTTAAGTCTCTAACCTTGTTACGACATGAACCTATTATGTTCCGGAATAGTGAAAGGTCGACACTTTTGGTGACCTGACACGCTTTGACCGTGAATATTTTATTATATTATTTCTATTGAACAATTGTTTTTAAATAAGGAAATTCCAGGGAGTTAATTAATCTTTTTTCTTTTCTTATGTGCCTCAAATGGCCAAAATTATAAGAAATGCTTTTTGGGCACATGGCGACTAGACAAAAGGGTTGAGTGATTTCACTAATAAGCTCGAATTAAGGACCAGCTAGGATTTCCGGCCTAGCAATTATATTGTTTAAAAAACCCGCCCGCCGCAATATACGCCGCTGTGTAGTTATTTTCAGAATAATTGTTAAATTGAATCTTTTAGCTTGTCGCAAATTGAGAATGCAATGTTGCCAGACTATATTCTAACTATTCTTACTAATATAGAACAAACTATTTATTTATTTTTTCCAGTTTTTTTTTAAATTTCATTTTTGATATATTCTATATCGTGCACTGGCATATTCCTTGCTAGTCTGCTATCAACAAGTTCTAGCGGAAGACAGTCAAAATAAAATTTAGTTAATTTTGGAAAAATGTTTTCCCAAAATTGTTTGCAAAAGTTATGATTTCATGTTTGAGACCACGAGTGGTCCATACACAAAAAACGCAATATTTTCTTTGTGTTGTATAGAGCTGTCGCTGAATTTAGGAAAACCACTTATGGTTTTTATCTAAAACAAACTCGCCTTGTTCTTCTTTCCATATTGTAATTTTTTTTGCTCGAATTCTCTCCTCCGGAATCATACTTCGAGCCGAAAATGAACCCTTTATTTCAACTATTCCCATTTCAATTATCAAACCGTCCGGTAGCTCCTAAATATGGATATTCTGCTGATATATATAATCCGCAATTTTTTACTTGAATTCTCAAGATGTTAGACAGTTGTCTAATGGCTCCAGCTTCATTAGCTTCTGCAATCTGTTCAGGCAGATACAAAATACTTTGGGCTAATTAAAGATTTTGCCAAAAAAGTTGTTGGTTTTCTCTTGCAAATGGTTTCAAAATTTGAAGCTGTCAAAATCTTTTTCTTTGTATCTAGCCATTCTATGGAGTTATGCTGTTCTCTAGTTCGTTTTTCAATCTCTTCCAATTCAATCGGAATTTTTTTTTTAAAGATTCAATAAATATTCAGTAAATATAGAAAGATCTGGCTTTTCACATGCTCTTCCTGTTCTTTAAAGCGGGTTTAGCCATGGAATAAGCAGAAGTCATAAACACAATACATAATTTTAGTCTTAAGCGTAACTATCACACTAACCTTATCCAATGGGTAGGTTGGCATTCTGGCCAGTGACCCAGTGCCCAGCTAGGCTTAGGGCAAAGTTTGATTCCTCAGTCGGGATTTGAGCTGCTGTAATAGTGTGTTTAATAAATATGTCCATACTTTGCCCTATATCTGAACACTTGTTGAGTAGATTGCCCACTTCCAAAACTTGTTTGGTATTTGCTTTTGTTTTTTCTTTATTAATATTTCTTTCTTTTTTCAAAAAGGATGTTTCTTCTCTGTACTGGGAAGTGGAAAAAGTTTGGCTGTTCTAAGTATGAGAATTCTTGAATAACAGGTGACGCAATTGAGTTAAAATTGTCTTCTTGTTCAGACTCAAGAAATCCATTGTCTCCAACAATCATAGACGCCCTCCACACTACACATTCTTCTTCCTGAGCAGAGTCTTGCTCAAATTTTCTTTTTTAAGTATTTCCTTTTGTCCTAAAAATAAAATTTATGCAAGTTCTAATAAACAACAAATTATATGCCTGCTTTAGCTGGTTTAAAATAAAATTTTCTTAGGAACAGCAAAAGAAAAATGTACGAGCCTTCTTGTCTGTATATGAGGGGCTGAAAACCCAAATGCTCTATAATGCCATCAGCCCTCAATATAGTGGGCAGACCCTTATGGTGTTGTCTTCAAAAACTTTCTTTCCCTGATGTACTTGGTCCGCAGAATTTTCCATAACTCTCCACAATCTTTAGCTGCAAAATATTTTTTATTTAAAAAATCCTACAACTAACTTAGCTTTAAAAAAAAAAAAAATTAAAACTTATCCAGAACTTTTTCAAGCACATCTGTCCGTTTCCTGAATGCCTGGATCCTCTCACTTTCGTTTGCAGCTTGAAGCAAAGCTGCATTTGCCTGCGCTGAAGCATCCTTTGCCTGATCTGAAGCAGCCTCTGCGTGCTTCATCGTAGCCTCAGCCAACATCTACAAAAGCAATATTTGTTATTTTCAGTGTTTTTTTGGCAAAATAATGCCTAACCTTAAAAGTATGAAAGAAGCATAATTAGGTATATAATTTATTGATTACAATAAGAAAATATAATTTCAAAGAATACATGCTGAATTGCTGAAAATTGACCTCCATTGCCTTGTTATTACCGGCGCTTAGCTCTTGGAAATTCATTCTAGCTTCTTGTTACTGTGTTCCTATTCGTACTCTGCTTGCCTTTCTTGCGTTTAAAAAATAGAAATCATTACAGTATGAAATCCTGTCACAGATTAAATAGCACTACGTACTTTTGCACATTTTCTTTTTTAGAGTAGTCCCCTTATTAGCCGGAGTAACCACATTTGATGGGCCGACTTGAGCTTCATCAGTTTCTACTGTGATTATGGCCTCATCAAGGTTTGCTTCAAACAGATCATCTGTAATAGAAAGAAAAATCATATTTTGTTATTTTGTTTTGTTAAGGCAGGTTGCTGAAAATTTCAAATGTAAAAATATATCCTACCAAATGGAGTTTCCTCGACTTCCTCATTCGTTGGTGGATCTATCACAGAGACTGTAAAGACTTCTGGCTGCTCGTCCAAAACAGACTCATCCCCAGTCTCCAATCTCTCAAGTTACATCTGAAGAAATAAAAATTGAAAACAGCTGTTTAAAAAACAAACAATAAGTATAGAGAATTTTTTTTTACCTCAGTTTCAGGAATCGAATCAGGGGGTCATAGGGGGTCAGAGGTGGGTGTTTAAACTCTTGATTGCCCGCTGCAGCTCATTCCGAATATCTGAAACTCTTTTGGAAACCTTGTGTTTCATGTCACGTCACACCTAAAAAATGTAATACTTTTTTCCTAGCCGAGTTTACAAAATTCAGGAGCAACCTAAAATCTAGGACACATTGAAAATCTGAAGCAATTTGGATACTTACAGTCTGCCACTGGCTACTGTCTTTGGATGCTCCACCTACAATAGCATTCAGCTCTCCAGCGAGAATATCCCACATGTGGCGTAACCGGTCCTTCCCCCCTTTCCCTGCAAATTTTCCAGCTGCGAAAGTCGGGTGGCTTTCAAGGTATTGAATTGAATGGTCCCTTGGAGTGATGCTAAAACGCTGCGCTTTGCTGAAAAAATAAAAAAGAAATTAATATAACTTTATAATAACTTTTATACCTTTATTTTATTTGAACTGTTTAATTAGGTACCTACAAAACAAGAATTAATACTCTTAAGTCTAATATAGAAATAGTCCAATAATAATGTGACTACCTTATGCCCGATTGCACCATCTCTCTCAACTGAGGCTTAACGATAACTATCCCTTAAATTGACAGTTTTGCATGGGAAAATGTCACTTTAAGGAATAGTTATCTCTAAGCCTCGGTTAAGAGAGACGGTGCAATCGGGCATTAGTAGGTTTATTTTTTTTCGCAAAACATTGTAGATGTATCACAATTGTCAGAATTACAAAAAACCTACGCAAATGTCACATTTATGTTTTAAAAGACATTTTCGTAATAAGTTTCCACCTACATAGACTAGTAGTGTTGCCTTCATCTGTAAATAAATTTTGATGGTCATTGCTTTGTATATTAAAAATTTGCCGATAATTTTTTCTTGTTTGATTCAAAAATTTGTATTTTTGTAATGAATTTGGTGGTATGGTAAGCAAATTATCATTAGCATCCTCTACTGAACTGGATCGGAGTGGGATTTCTGGAGTTTCCACAAGCATTCCTAATTTGACCGAAATAATTTTCCGGGCAATCTTGATTTAAGTTGGGTGTCAATAGAAATTTATGATTTTATCTTCGTAACCCTTCTCATAATTTCAAGGTTGATGAAATAGGCAGCCTCCAGCTATAAATAAATCTTAGGCTTTTGGTCATGTTGGTCAAAATTGAAAACAGTTCATTCATTTTATTTAAAAATTCAAATTGTTTCGCAGTTCCCATGAAACCTGATATGATTTTAGAGGCCTTGAATTTAAAATATCAAATAATGTATTCATATCATTAATAAAGTTTGCGGTTGTCTTGGCCTCTTTGATATTTTTCCAAACTCAATGTACGTATGCATGGCAACCGAAACAGAGTGGCTAAACATTTGAGACGCAAATTTGACCCTCTTTTTTTTTTAAATCATTTGGATTCAAATGCTAATCAGTTAGCCTTGGTGCTCCGAAATTATTTTGCCTTATCAAGGTTATACGATGTTTCTAAATAAAATTTATTAATAACACCCTCATTCAAATGAAAATAATGAGAAGAATTTTTTTTTCTTGTTGACTTTAACAAATGTGGAACATCGAATAAATAGAAGATAGGAATATCATCAAGAAAAAAATATGGTTTTTCGACTGTTAATTTAAGATATGATTTCACTAATTTGAAAAAGTTTGGACCCTGACCCGATGTTACGGCCAGAATGTTCTTTGCTTTTGTTTTCGTATTGCCTCAAAAATAATTTCTTTCAAATCTTCAACATTTGTGGAATTTTTTGTGAAAAAATACGAAATAGGTTGTTTCCAACTAGTGTGATATTCCTCTTGCCATAATTACCAAAGCACTTGTAGCAATGTCTGTGGATCTTTTATTACGAAGTTATTCAAAGCCTACTATGTGATCTCTGGAAATGTTATAAAACAAATTTGATTTATTGGACATTTCGTCAATACATTGGTTCTAGAATTTTAAAAATAAATTCATTAAACCCTGCATACATTCTCTAATGCTGGGTAATTCCTTCCAAAGTGCTTGGTGATGGCAGTCGTATTACCTTGGATAATTTGTTGTATGCTTTAGGTCCTAGCAAGCAAATTGCCTGAACTCATTTGAATACCTGCTTCCTTTCGGTGTTTTGTCTGGAAGTAATAATAATTAGTTTCTTATCAACATTGTGGAGACCTGGGGGTAATGTTCTTCCAAAAATCTTAGAACATCTGAAAGGGATGTGTCGGTACGTTTTTTAGAAGACTTAAGATTACTTTGTAATTCCACTTTTTTACTTTATAGGCCTTCTTTCCTGGGAGTATTTTGAGATAAATGGGAAGCAGTCTGACACGACACATCTGCAAAAAATTGCCATTTTGAAAATGTTTTGTCACTTATTAAACATAAAATAAATGAAAACATTGGATAATTTATAATTATCTTAGAAAAAAAAACAGGTTTCTCATGGTTTGTTAGTTTATACCTAGTCAATAGTGTATGTCTTACCTTCCATGAATTCTTTCAAGAAGGCGCTTTGGGTTTTCATATCAGGAGTCACATTTTTCCAAAAAATAATAGGTTTTAAGTAGATTTGTGTGTTTATTTTTAATTTCATGGTTAAATAAAAACATAACTTTAAATAATCATATTTATTCATTAACATATTCATTGTATAAACTGTACACTTGATTAAGCATATCAATTTCAGCCTGCATTCTCACCCTTGCTGGAAGCTTATTCAGCACCGACTGGATAATTTGCAATGCAGGGGAAATTGATGAAGACTGCTCCGGAACTGGTTTTTTAAGAATATTTAACGGAAGTTTGTCAGACTTATCTGAAACAGAAAAATTACGTATTAGACCACATTGATTTATTTTGTGGTTAAAAATGTGTTCAAATAGTTGATCACTGTTTAGATAAAATTGTTCACTATTTAGATAGACATTATATAGACTTTTATTATATCAACACTCACCAATTTTTTTTAGCCTCAGATCCTGATTCTGAAGGTGTGTAGTTTCTGAAAAATTTAATAAAATTTATGAAAGTTTGTGGACTTTTTTATATGCCTTGCAAGTAGATGTTTCTATCAAATAAAACACTAAATTGCAAATAATAAAACACTTTTTACAATACCAGTATCCAAATAAATGTAGCTTGCAACAACACACAAAAAATTGCTTTTGGTTTTTGTAATTTTAGGGTACTTTTATGCCATTAAAACTTGTAAAATATTTACTTCAAATGTTTCAGGAAGGTATCTCGGAGGTTTCTCCATTTCTTTTCCAATTGCAACAGTGGAATCTTTCCTCCCAATTCCTTGCATACTTCACGCCATAATTTTTCTTTGACATCCTTTACTCTTAAACGGGAATAGTGTGGTCCCAGAGAGTAGGTCGGGCATGGACCGCTTCAGCCAGCTTCCCAATAAATCTTTCATCAGAATCCAATGTTGAGTAAAAACAGAAAACAGTAGGTAAATCATTTTATTTTCCAAATAAATATATTGTGGTTCTTACCTGGGGTTTAGTGCGCCACTTCACTGTAGCTGCTCCAACCGCTTGTTATAGGTTGGGAATGTTGGTATTCTGAGGGTTCAGCTAGAGGTTCAGATTCAGGCTCACCCTCGGGCTCGGACTGGTAGCAAACATGATATTGGAATTGCTCCAAACTGAATGTGCCTCCACATTCACACTCCACCTTATTTTATTGATAAATATTACAAAATTGATTGTAAAAAAAAAGTTAGGTATAACTAACTTTTACCTGACCTAGGTATCCTTTGCTTATATTTTCATAAAATGCAAACCTTTAACTAATCGCATGCACAAAAAGGGTCAAAAGGAAGGCAGATTGAAGGTAGGCCGGTACCAGCACCAGCTACCTAACAACATATGAAATCAGGAAATATGAGTATAAAATTTGCAAGAAAATTTTTTTTTTTTTTTTCAATTAAACAATACGAAAATAGAAAAAAATTGTATAAAATATTCGTTCCATAAGACATTTTATCGCACGGGCCCTATATTAGAAAACGAGCCGGATGCGAGTTTTCTAAATGGCGACGTCTTATGAAACTTGTAATTTAATGTACTATTCTGGGTTCGAATCCTTTCAATTTCATTTTTTGGCATCCTAACATTGAGAGGTTTTAAGCCTTGCTTACTTTATTAATAATACGGCAAGCAGTCGTGTGGTGGCAGCTTATAAAATCTCCAACAGCAACTTGGTGTCCATGAGAGGCATGAAACCTTAATGTCAACAGCAACTGATTCATAGGGCTAACTGGATTGTTCCTGAAAAAACGTCAAAAAATATAAGACCTAAAATACAGTTTAGTACTTGGCATGTGAAATTCATTGTGAAAGAATAAGTGCCATTCCATAGAGAATGTAGAATAGTAGGTATACTGTCGATTTCAAATAAAACGTGCATCGTGTAAGTCTGATTTGACTAAATTCCAATAAGGTATCTAAAATCAGGCATGTAGGCATTTCATTTGAAATAAACAGTACATAATGATTAGTTATTGTACTCAAGCCATAAAATTGCATTGGATATACTTACACCCTATTATCATAGGTAAGGGCATCTTCAACCTCTTTGAAACGGTCTACCACTGATGGTTTCGTAAGGCGGAATCGACGAAAGAGAATAAGGTCATCCAAGGCGTCAAAATAATTTTCCCTTTCAATTCAACACCTTGGAAACCCATCTAACACTATATCATTGATATCCAAATCATCATCAAATAGTTGGTCTTCCATCTCCATATTCCTTATTTCTTCTACTCGCTACCAAACTTTGTCACTACACACTATTTTTTTTAAAGTTTTTTTTTGACAAAAATATTTGGACACATGAAATTATGGAAATCGGAACCAAACAAAAATAGCAAACAAAACTCTAACCTAACCTCACTTATTAACTAGCCGCGGTTATCTAGTCTTTAATTCCAGGACTTCGGGCGAATGAAGTTAATTATTCTCGATTATGAGAAAAAAAACGCTTGGTGCATAAGGAAAATATTATGTAACCACGGCTAAAGTCTTAATCAGAAAATTTGTGCAATGGTGCATACGAGCATGAATGTTCTTTTGGTTTTTTGGATAGTAAATTTAGAATATTTGAAACTCCTTGATTGTGGATAAGAAAGCGTGGCTAACGTAATAGAAGCCGCTTGTGTCCTACATCATTTTATACGAATAAAAAAAAAGACGATTTGCAACGCCTAGCCTGGTACATGATCAAGATAGTTTACAAGAAAATCAGAATAATTTCCAAGCTGCCAATTCCGAAATTAATTAACATAGTTTAGCAATTACACTACGGAAGTATCTGGCTAATTATTTTATAAAACCCGAAGCAGCAATTCCTTGGCAATGGCATTATTGCAAACAAACATGATA